CTATACAATTCAAACTCCTTAAAGATTGAGTTGTATTTATTTTAGTGCAGACTCGTATATTTTTTAATATTAGACAAATGACACTTAAAAGATTTGCCAAACTCCATTTTTCCAACTCAATAAGGACACTTTGAGTGTATAATATATAAAATTCATCATCCTAATTCAAGTAAAAGAGTCAGAAATATATTTTAATCATACCCAAATCAAAAGGGTGGACCCCACTTAAATTAATATATAAAATAATAAGCCAATATTTATTAATTTTTCCAACATTTGTCCCCAAGAAAAGAAAAAGTCAAACGACGATCTTCAATTCGCTTAGATGTTATCAAAATATCTAATAATTAATTTAATCGTAGCATTACAAATTTAAGGTAGAACTGAGTACGGTACATATCGTTTATATATAGAGCGCGCAATGAGCTGTGAGATAGAAGAGGAGAGCCCTTCCAGATACGGTCATGGGGGAGTTACCAATTTGGATGGCATTAGAGAGGAGATTGAAACGGAGAGGAGGAGCAGCGAGTTCTCCGGCGGCGGCGATCACGACGGTGGCGCTGCCGTGTACGTGGCGGTGGGGAATGCTACTAAGGGGTGTGAGGAGTCGAGCATGGATGCGCTGCGTTGGGCACTGAAACACGCCGTCACTCATCCGCCGTCGTCTTTTCTGGTCTTCCTCGTTAATATCTTCCCGGAAACCAAGCACATCCCATCTCCATGTAAGCTCTTTTGACTTTTCTTCTCATTTTAATTTTTATTTTTGCAAATATCAATAATTAATTAGTATAAAAGTTTGAATAAAAACAAGTTTAATTGTCCTCGTTTCATTGCGCACACAATGTTTAAAGAAGGAAAAAAAATTGAGTCACACACTCTCATATATCTTAATCCGCGAGACCGATCGAATCTATGATAACTGTTTGTTATTTATGATAAAAACTAGAAATAAGGGTCATATAGGCCATCGAACTGCACACTATAGTTCAGTAGGCCACTGAACTTAAAAAACTAACAAATAGGTCTCTAAACTAACCAATTCCAAACAATTCTTTCAATTTGAAGGTTTCCAACAGGTCATCCTTCTAAATTAATTATTTTTAAATTAAATTTTAAAAAAAGGATTCCTGCCGGTTTCTTCGTCTCTCTGGCCAAAGACAAAGAAACCGGTCGGAGACGGTCGTCTTCGGCCCTTCGGCCGGAGTCCTTTTTTTTTTTTTAAATTTAATTTAAAAATAATTAGTTTTTAAAATTTATTTTTAAAAAAATAATTAATTTGGGAAGATGACTTGTTGACCTGTTGGAAACCTTCAAATTGGAATAATTGTTTGAAATTGGTTAGTTTAGGAACCTAATTGTTGGTTTTTTAAATTCAGTGGCCTAATTGCATTATCCTGTACAGTTTGATGGCCTATTTGACCCTTATTCCTAAAAACTATAATGCTTATTACAACAAATTTAATACTGATTTAAAATAAATAAATTATTACTTATAATGAAAATTGTAATATTTATATATAAAATTGTGATATTATTTAGGGTCCGTTTGTAAAGCAGGAAAATGACTTTTGGAAAATGAGTCATTTTCCAGAAAATATTTTTCTTTCTTGTGTTTGGCAGCACAGCAGAAAACAGTCTTTGTGTGTTTGGTTCATTTTCTGAAAAATGAGATAGAATTGTATAATTAACCATTTTATATAATTAATTCTTTTGTTAAAATAAAAAAAAATTATAATAAAATTTATTTTTTAAAACCAAATAATATTAATTATTAAAAAGAAAAAAAAACAAAAAAAAAAAAAAAAAAGAAGAAGAATACGGAAGAAACTAGAGAGAAGGACAAGGACACACTAACTACACAGGTTAACTTGGGTGTTTTCTTGTAGTTATTACATTGACTTTTTAGAATGATTGCAAATTAAAATATAAAAAATTGTAATTAAGAATGTTATCATCTTCGCCGGCAGAGGTTTGTAATTCAGATGGCGTGTTTGGACCGCGTATTTTGCTTCCGTGGGGCAGGGCTTATCCCCAAGTCAAACTCGGACCGCCCTTCTCTCTGTCACAAATTAATTCTCCTATCTTTTTTTTGAAATAATTAATTCTCCTATCTACTTCTACTATTAAGGATTAATTTGAAAAGTAGGAAAATAATTTTTGAAAAATAAATTATTTTTTAAAATATATTTTCTTTTCTTGTGTTTGACTATATTTTGAAAAATTATTTTAGTATGTTTGGTTCATTTTTTAGAAAATGGATAGAATTGTATAATTAAATATTTTATTTAAAATATATAAATATTTATAATAATATTAAAAACAATATTATTATTTATCAAAAAAAAAAACAAAAAACAAAAAACAACAGTCGTGGTTTTCGCTGGAAATCGACAGAAACCTTGTTTTGATGATTGGCAGAAGTCATTTTTCGTCAAAATGCCTACATTTTTCTCAATCAACAAAAAATATCTTTCGTCGACTGAATTTTCATATTGCATCTAAACATTGAAATCTGAAAAACATTTTTCAGAAGTCATTTTTCGGATTTTCAAACGGACCCTAAGTTTAAGCGATGAATAGAAAGTGCAATTTCAACTAAGGTAGTCAAATTGTTAACTTGATAATTATAAGTTTGACTATCAGTAAATGTGACATATTGGTCAAAAATAGGAGATGTATAGTTTAAACAATTAAAATACTTAGGCTCTGTTTGATAACATGGTTAGTTTATTAGTCAATTTTAGTTTGTTTGAGTACTATTAGGTATTTTGGACTTTTGGTATCAACATGCCTTGGTCCAATTCACCAAATATTTTACTCCCAAAATATTTAAACATTGACAATTAGGTATTGATGTCCAATTGTTATATAATAAACTAGGATTGTGTTTGGTTAGCACATGAGAATTAGAATTAGAATTAGAATTAGAATTAGAATTAGAATGGGAATCAAATACTTGGTAATGGTATAGGTTTTTATGAAAGTATTTTGCATGTTTGGTAGTAGGATGAAATTAGAATGATTACCAATATTGATGTATGGTTATGTATGACCCTATAATGGAAATAAAGGTTTCAAAAATATAAAAAACAAAAAATCAAGGCAATTAATTCTAATATAATGACATCTAAAGCACCAATATGAACAAAAAAAAAATCAAAACAAAAATCTAAAAGCACTAATCCAAACTTAAAAATCATATTACCAATAAGATGTGATGATACCTTTTTAAATTAGGTGATGGAGTTTTTAATTGAAGGGGTAACCAAATCACATAGTTGCATTGTGTTTTAAAAATTTGTCAACCAAACACTAATTATGATTTTGATTCTCATTCCTAGTGTGTAAACTCATGAACCAAACACACCCTAGGTTCCACTTTGTGTTGTGAACTCGGGTTTAAAAATTATGTGTTTACAGTTAACATATTGTGTGCCTTCAACTATAAATTATGTGTATATAAATAAATTGAAAGCACAAAATTTGTTAATTACAAGCACATAATATGTTAATTGTAAGCACATAATATGCTAACAACTACCTATTATGCATGTAGATAACACATTATGTGCCTTCAATTTATTTACAAGCACATAATCTGTTAACTGCAGACACATAATATGTTAAATGCAGATACGTAATCTGAATGTTACTTTAGACTAGGGTCCTCAATGTAAGGTTAACACTATTCAATGGTATAATTTGCCATTGATGCCAGAATAATAATCCAAAATGTTGAGCAAAGCATAATAAGAGTAAGATTATTATGGATTAATACATGAAAGTCAAATTTAAGGCAAAAATTGAACATGTAAAACTAATTACATCCAATTTTTAATGATGAATGAAATTTGATGTTTGATGATAGTGGGGATGATTCCAATGAGCCAAGTGAATCCTGAGCAGAAAGAGAACCACATGGCACAAGAAAGAAGCAAGAGAAGCCAATTCCTACACAAATTTCTTGATGTCTGCTCTGCTTCCCAGGTACATACAATACCTTATTATTACTTTTAGGATGATAGGGTGACACAAGGTTAAATAATACATAATTAAATGCAAAATATATTACCAGTCATTGCTTTAATATTATGGTTAATTTTGAACTTTTAATTTTTGTCATGTAATTAAGAGATCAGTGAACCTGTTGGTTCATGCACTAACTAGGGTTACAGACTCTTAGTCGGACTCTCGTTTTTGAAATTTATTCTTTTCTGATTGTATTCTCTCTCTACTTTTTTCTTCAAGTTAATAATAATTTTGGTTTTGATTTTCACTTTTCAAAGAAAAAGAAAAACATAATACATAATTTTTAACATATTATATTGGAAATTTAGTCAGTTGGTATTTGGTTAAAATCAATATTACTTTGTTTCGTTTAGGATTATATTTTCTATAAAAAAAAAAAGTATTTTATTTTAATATCGTTATTCGTTAATATTATGTATATATGTATTAATATTAATAGAGTTAATTTCATTTTTGTCATAGATTTATAGGTGTTGATTCATTTTTCGTCCTTTTTTTTTTTTTTTCAAAACGTTCCCTTTTGATCCTAGTATTATTGTGGCATGATCATTTTTGGTTATTCGTTAATACAACCGTTTAAATTATATTAAATACAAGGACATTTTGGTCAACTATAGTGATTTTACCCAATTTAGTCATTGATTATAGTGGTTTTACTCAATTTAATCATTGATTCTAACAGTCGAGGACTCAATTAGGTAAAATTGTCGAAATCTAAGACCCAATTAAGCACACAAGCATTTAGGACTAAATTGAAAAAAGTCACTATTATCGAGATGACTAAATTGAGTATTAAATCTTTAAACATACATATACCTGAATTCCCAATGCCAATAGTTCTCATAAATAGGTGGTCTTAAAATTCTAGTGTAAGTTGTGTTTAAAATGAATAATAATGTGTGTACCAATCAAAAGTCATATTTAGAAGAAAAATCAAAAGGAGAAGAGAAATAAATGTAATGTAAGAAGAATGCAAGAAGAGTGGGGTTTTGATTTGAGAACTGAGAAGCATTTGCACAAATACAAAACAGGTGAAAGTGGAGACCATACTTGTTGAAAGTGATACAGAAGCAAAGGCAATACTGGACCTCATTCCCATTTGCAACATCCAAAAACTAGTTCTGGGCATTTCTAAACCAAATCTAAGGTACACTATACTGCTAAAACCCCTCCCCCCCCCCCCCCCCCCCCCCACCCACACACACACACACACACACATTTGTTTTCTCATTCCATTCCATTCCTTCTAAGTTCTAACTATTGAGTTTAGAAGGATGAGGTCAAAGAGAGGTAGCTGCACAGCTGATCAGATACTACAGAACGCACCCGAGTTTTGCCAAGTAAAGATCATATGCGAAGGCAAGGAAGTGGCAACCGATCAGCTCGAGTCGCCATCGCCTTCTCCTTCTCCGGGACCCAGTCCAAGATCTGCCCACGGCCCGAGACACCATCAAAACCAGACAACGCAAAGTGAGTCGGTTGGGTGCAGCTGTTTCAAAGCAAAGGTATTCCAGTGATCAGATCCAGCTAGAGTTACATCAAGAGCATCAACCAACAAAAATATTACCCCCATCACCTGGTGCAGGATATCTACAAAGTACTTGTTTCTTTTTCTTTTTAATACAAATGAAAAGCTGCCAATTCAAATGTAAGCAAACATTGAATTCTTACACATTTTGCATATCTGACTGAATAATCAAAGCATATATGATATCTATGAAAAGTGAAAAGCAGCAGTAATTTCATATCATAGCGCAATTTTCAGGAAACAGAAAAAGTATAGGGAAAGAATACCTAAGAGAAACAGCTAAATGCAATTTCTGAACAAGAAAGTAATATCACTGCTTCAAATCTCAGGAAATACACCAACATTAGAAAGTCTGGAGCACAACCAAACTTGGTTCTGCTAAACCTTTGATCAAAGAGCAATTCTGTAGTAACGTAACGTAACAAACTATACATTCAGCAATGATTTAATTGCTTGTGGGAGCCAAATGGGATTTCTTCAAGATTTACAATCCTTACATTACCCTACATAAGCCAAACACTGATCAGAAAGTTCCAACCCATAAAAATGTATTTCTTCAACTTGAGATTTGTGACTTGGATAGCACCACCCTCGTATCTTCTAAGACATAATTGTCATACAGGCAGGAGACTGAAGGTAAACAGTTGCATGTTACATGCAGCAAAAACAAAGCATACTTTGTTCCTCCAATAAGATTTTGCCGAGGAATCTGCCATTCAGTCCACTAGAAATCCAAAATTTCTCAGAATGTATACAAGTATGTTCTCCTTGAATCTCAGTTATACTAGTAATATTTACTAAAAGAAATCAAACTCAAGGTAATTATTAGAATTTTTTTGATTAGGAGGCACCGCAGTAAGAGCAGTCTTTTCACTAGTTGATGCTGCTGGAGGTGGAATACGCTCAAATTCAACTGGCTTTGGGATCTCAGGAGGGGAAGCACAGCGTATCAATGCCCAATTCACTCCTTCAAAGAAAGGGTGCTGTTTTATTTCAGTTGCTCCTCTTTTGTAAGCCAATCTATGCTGTGGTTCTTTAATGAGCAGGCCCCTTATAAGATCCCTAGCTGCAAAGCTGACAACTGGTGATTCTGGAAATCTAAGAGGCTGGCCAACAACATTGAACAATGTGGCTCGGTTCCCAGATCCTTTAAATGGGGTTTTACCAAACAAAAGCTCGTAAAGGAAGATCCCAAAGGTCCACCAATCTACAGCACTACCATGGCCTTCACCTTTAATAATTTCAGGTGCCAAGTATTCATGGGTCCCCACAAATGACATGGACCTAGCACTAGTAGGTTCTGCAACTAGTTCAGGTAGAGGGGTAACCTGAGTGCCAATATCAGCTTTGGATTTTCGGTCCTTCTTCTTGGACTTGCTAGAAAAGAAACGGGGAGTGAAACATGATGTGGTAACAGCACACGATGGTTGAATGCAAGCTGGCTGGACACAGAAACCAGGGCTCTTCTGGAGAGGTTCTGAATCTAAAGATTTGACAAGTGTTGGACTCACGGCACAACGCAGTGAAAGGTCAAAGTCTGAGAGCATTATATGCCCATCTTCTCTCACCAGGACGTTTTCAGGTTTAAGATCACGATAGATAATTCCTAGCATGTGGAGATACTCAAGAGCTAAAAGGACCTCAGCTACATAAAATCTGTAAGAAGCAGATAAACCGTTAAGATAAGCAATCAATTAGACACTTCCAATGCAATAATAACAACCTTGTTCTTTCTTGTTCACAAAGTGATTTTGCCATAGATATTACTTTTCCAATCCACAGAACCATATTACCAAACAGTTGAAGGATCATCCTAGTGTAGCTAAAGAAACGTCTTAATATTTTACTTGGTTCTAGGAAATTCTAGCACAGTATTGCTGGCTCAGTTTCCCTAAATAAACACATTTTAATAGTGGATTCTTGTCCAGGTTCCAACTACCATGGTTCTTGGTTTGGTAAAATGCCGAATTTATTTTTCATGTGGGGAAGCTTCATAAACCAGATTAAATGAAATGGAAACCAGATCGTTAGAACTTCAAAAAGTTTTTCCAAGAATAGCATTCCTTATAGAGCTATACAGATGTTCATATTAGTATAATTGATTATGCAACTATTATATACCAGTGGTCAATTTGGTTAAAAGCTCGTCAGCAGCATATTGCTACGAATTAGCAGATTATAAAACAAGCTGACACTAAGAGTAAACTAATGTAGCATCTAGAAATTTAAGATGATAAAGGAAAAAAATCAAAATGAACATAGCAAATTAGCAATAAAGAGACATTGGCACATCAGAATGCCTATCTGAGCATTAGTGACAAAGAAACAGCAATAAGGGATGCAACAAGAAGAAATTATGTTACTCCCTGATGCTTAATTAAAAGAAAATAAAAAAGATCTAATTCCAATTTGTAAGTTGGATAAAAATGGTTCCCAAACTATTGAAAAATGAAAATTGAAAAACTAGTCCTTTTATCAATGGATGACCATTTTAGTCCAATTCTCAGTAGTTGCAGTACCACTCTTTTCCAAATTGGTAGTTGGGTGCTTAAAGTGGAATACCACTATATTTTGGGTAATAAAAACGTAATTACTTCATTAAAAAGTTCACGAACCAAAGCAGCAAAACTCCAATAAACATAATAGTGTAATACACTATGCAGATGGCAAATGGAAATACACAATGGTTGGTAACTAACCAAGTCAGTTGTCATACTATTTTCGACAAAAGTACTAAATAGGCTCCTTATATTTTTGCTGTCCAAATGGCTAATTCCCTTTTAGCTTCAAAATTCACAAAATTCAACAAACTAATCAACATTATTGTTTCATGGAACTTAAAGGTATCTATGCACCAAATCAGATTATCAGGGGCAAGTGTAGTTAGCAATACCTGATGTCTGTTCACAAATGAGTATAATTCTATTCTCACAAAAAATGGGTAGATTGCTAAACCTCACCTTCATTTCAGTGTATTAGAACAAGTACCACAACACTGTAGCACCAAGAAGCAAAAACAAGGTTTCCACTAAAAAAATTCTAGAGAAGATTTATATGAAATTTGTGCTGAAAGTTCTACAATTATAATTGCAAACTACAGGTAAAATAAGAAGCATTATGCGCTCACAGAAATTAGCAGTAAATTGAGAGATGCTTATAGAGCAAAGAACTCATACTTGACTGCTAGTTCAGAAAAATGTTTCCCTGGCTGCCTCTGCCTCAGAGTGTGCAGATCTCCTCCTGGGCAGAATTCCATAACTATACACGAAAACTTATCAGTCTCAAAGTGGGTATAGAGAGTTGGAAGAAAAGGATGGTCCAAGGATTGTAATATTTCCCGTTCTGTCTGAGCACGAATAAGTTTTTTCCGGCCAGCCAGAGATTCATTATCCATAACTTTCATTGCAAAATAGCACTTGGTACCACTCAATTCTGCCAAGTAAACGCTCCCAATATCTCCACAACCCAACCTTTTCAACAGTCTGAAATGGCTAAAACCTAAAATCCCATCTCTTGTTCGGACAGCTTGAATGGCTTCCCAACCCGAGTCATTTGCTTTATGAGGCTTGTTGACACTGCTACTGAAACTGCTAGAAGTGCTTTCATCGCTCACATTGGTGCTCGCACTTCCTCTACATATACTACTTTTTCCACTTTCAACATATTCAACACGATCACTTATTTTGGCACTTCCACTAGTTTTTGGTAGGCTGCCAGTACCATCACTAACTTTTGCAGAAGCTGAACTGTTCTTTGCGCTATCAGGCTCAGATGTTTTCTTTTTTTGATCACCAAGAGCTAACTGAGAGCTCCTCATCCCATTAACTTCAGGACTATCAGCTGTAGACACTTTACCACTGTCAACCAAAGAGATGATCGAATCAGGTTTATCAATTACCAAATCGGATGTTCCACTTTGATTACTATGTCCCAATTTTTTATTGTTGAAAGGTTCCATAGAAACTGGCCTTGAGATATCTTGAAAGATTCTTCTAATTGTTCAGCAGGACTCAGCTTCTCTTGATTCGCTTTTGAAGCCTGTGAAGGCAAAGATCTAGAAATTTTTTGCTTCTGTGATTTGATGAGTTCCAATGATCATTTGCTGTAGATCAAGGGAAGCTCAGCTCTAACAGCAATGGTCGACACCATTAGAGGAACAACGCACTCTGAAGTAGTTAGATCCAATCATTTCATTATCTGCAGCCATTCTGACATCCATCCCCACAATATAAAGATCCAAATATCAATTTCTTCCCAGAATCTATCAATAACACAAACAACCAATTAGTTAATATATTAATTAATACTAGACAAGGTATGTCCAAACAAATGCTTCATTGAGTTGATAGGTATAACAAATACAGATTACAGGTAGGCTGGATAATAAGGTGAAAGGTTAACATTCAAAACACCTAAACACCAATCCACTTCAACAAATTTAAACTTTGGGTTCACTGAAATAATTGGTTATGTTCCAAAGCAATATGAATAAACTAGAGCCAGAAACCTAGAAAAAAAACACACAAAAAAAATAAAAAAGTAAATCAGTCTTCTGGAGACTACAAGATCTGACTCTCAAATTGAAGAACAACCTCCAAAAATAGAGCTAAGGACATGAACATACAGAAACTTAGCAACTGTGTGTAATCTAGTAGCACCAAAAAAAAAAAAAAAAAAAAAAAAAAAAGGAGAAATATACAAATTATTAGAAGAGCAAAAAAGATACAAGGGAGCGACCACCCATGAGTAAAAATTAAGTCAACCACATCAGCTCCAGAAACTTGCAGCATTTGCTATTAGCATAAAATAAGGAGAAAACAAAAACAAATCATAGAAGCATGAAATTCCTGGAAAAAAAAAAAGGAGAGGGTGAAATCAATGAAACTAGCCCCAATAACAGTATGAGCCAAAACCCACATCAGATCCACAATCAAGACGTAACCCAGATGCAAAAATCCACGGTCGAAGCAACCAAAAAACAAAGAGTAAAGATTAGAGATAGCAAGAAAAAGAAAATCACCTGAACTGGAAAAGATGAGAAAACAAGAGGTTGAAGATGAAGAATCAGAAAAGAATGTTCATCCCAGCTCTTCTTGATTGCAACTGTTGAGGGAAAATCATTGAGGGCGAGAAATGAATATTGACTGGGTGACTCATACTCCGGACTATTAGGTGAATGAATCAGGATAAACTGAATGAGTCAAACAAAAGCTAAAGCTTAGCCAAACACTCTTCTTTTCATCTTTCAGTACAGTACAAATGTACAATTATTAAATATAAGGAATTTTCCTTTACTTTCTTTAGTACTCCGTGTTATTTTGGAATGAAAATATTATCCGTACTCTAATTTTTTATTTCTAACTTTTATTTTTATACATAAAATTTTGATATAAACATTTGTATTGGGATCCACATAAAAAAAAAAAGTAGTTTATTCATGCCCGTTATATCATGGAACAAAATAGTGAGTAAGATTTATACAATTTATATCGTGCACCAGGGCGCAGGGCGCACATTGCATTGTGCGCCCTGGTGCAAAACGATGTCGTTTTGTATTTTTTTTTTAAATTCCGCTATATGTGTCGGCTATTAACTTCTTAAAAATAGAATGTACATAATTATATAACAGAATATACATAATTGTATAATAAAATATACATAATTGTATAACAGAATACACATACTCTTTTTTGAAAAGATAATACACATAATTTAAAATAATACATGATACACATAAACTCTTAACATAATACATAAACTTTTAACTCTTAAAAAAATTCATTGTTTCAGATGTACATAATTGTATAAAATAATGTACATAATTGTATAAAAAAAATGTACATAATTGTATAAAAAATGTACATAATTGTATACATAATGTACATAATTGTGTAACATAATGTACATAATTGTATACCATAATATACATAAGTGTATAACATAATACACATACACTCTGTCGCGTTAACTCTCCACACAACTTAACAAAATGACGTCGTTTTGGAAGATGCGGAGCGCACATTACTATGTGTGCCGTGATGCACGGTATAATGATTATAAGATTTAGGAGTTTATGTATTAGAACTCTTTTGTAAATGTGTCATGTATGAGGGCTCAAATTCCAAAAGCCTAAACGGCGGCAAATTATGTTGTGCATCTGTATGCACCATGCATGGTGCATACGGATGCAAAAATGGCGTCGTTTTGCATAAAACGCGCGCCCTACTTAAAAAAAAAAAAAAATCAGTTTCGATTCCCAGCAACAACACTATGTTATTCATTTTTAGTTCATTCATTTTGGGTTTTTTAGTTATGAAATTCTGGAAGTGTAGTTATGCAATTCTGGATGTGTAGTTATGAAGCTATGGATGTGTAATTATGCAATTCTGGAATTATAGTTATGCAATTCTGGATGTGTAGTTATGCAATTCTGGAAGTGTAGTTATGCAATTCTAGATGTATAGTTATGAAATTATGAATGTGTAGTGAAATTATGGATGTGTAGTTATGCAATTCTGATTTTTTTTTTTTTTTTTTAAATTAGATGCCAAAACGACGTCGTTTTTGCATCCGTATGCACCATGCATGGTGGATACGAATGCACAGTATAACGCTCCCTAAAAGGCAAAGGCTAAAACCCATAAAGTCCACAATTTGTTTGGTGGAATTTATTTTCAATCCTAATACCATATAAAATAGATTTACACTATATATGGTGATATGGTCACATACACATACATAGAGGAAGGGAGGGAGGGGGGAATGGATCAAATGAGAACTCGAGTTCAAGAGAGAAATAGGAACTCATCGGTTTATCGCAGCTGTCCATTTAGATAGATTTAGCAAATTAGAAACATTTTTTAAAAAATGTAGTGGTATTTTTATAAATAATTCAAACTTTGAAGTACAAGTAAAACTGTGTTAAAAGTGCAAGTAACAGTTTCATAAAGTGTACCTAAGTGCAAGTAATATATACTAAAAGTGCAACAATATAATGTACACTGAACATCAATATTAAGTGCACATGACGTTATCATTAGTTGCGCCAAACGTTATCATTAAGTGCGCACTAATGTAAAACCATTATCATTAATTAAGTGCACCAATGTGAAAATTCAAATTACTTACACTATTAAGTGTAAATGATTGCATTTTTAAGTGATTTTACTTGCACATTTGCATATGTTACTTGTACTTTTAATACATTTTACATTGTAGTATGTGCTCATACATACTTTTTCAATCTGTTGAAGCACAAAGAGTCAACACCGCCTCCACTAAAGCTCGATCTCATGACCTCCAATATGGGAGAGCCACTACATGTCATCTGAGTACAAGATGCTCGGCATCACCATGTTTTTTAATTACATATGATTCATTGATCTTTTCAAATGGATGGCTTGTGATTGGTTCCTAGTGTTCTTTTGCACATCCGTTCTCATTTGATCAATTTCCTCTCTCTCTCTCTCTCTCTCTCTCTCTCTATATATATATATATATATATATATATATATATATATATATATATATATATATATATGAAAGGGTTTAGGTGCGGGTATAGCTTCCCGTGCGGTTGTGCGGTTAACTTAAAAAGACGCACCTTAAGAACACAAACCACGCACCTAAAGTTTTAAAATAGCGTGCCTTAAGTTTCAACGCTAACGCACCTTAAGCATACAAATCACGCACCTTAAGAAGGAAAACAACGCACCTTAAGAAGGAAAACCACGCACCTAAAGTTTTAAAATAGCGCGCCTTAAGTTTCAACACTAACGCACCTTAAGCATACAAATCACGCACCTTAAGAAGGAAAACCACGCACCTAAAGCTTTAGGCCGACGCACTTTAAGTACACAAACCACGCACATTAAGCACACAAACAAAGCACCTTAAGAACACAAACCACGCACCTAAAGTTTTAAAATGGCGCACCTTAAGTTTCAACAACTGACGCACCTTAAACATACAAATCACGCACCTTAAGAAGGAAAACAACGCACCTTAAGAAGGAAACCACGCACCTAAAACTTTAGGCCGACGCACTTTAAGTTTCAACACTAACTCACCTTAAGCACACAAACCACGCACCTTAACTGTCAACAACTGACTCACCTTAAGCACATAAACCACACACGTTAAGTGTCAACAACTGAGTCACCTTAAGCACACAAACCATGCACCTTAAGAAGGAAAACTACGCACCTTAAATTTGACCTAAATGCAAAAGACCAAATTGCCACCGTGTTTTTTTTAATCATTGTTAATCCTAAACGTTAATTTAACCAATATGAATGGCTGATATCTGCATGGGAACTGAATTATATATATATATATATATATATATATATATATATATATATATATATATATATATATATATATATATATATATATATAGAGAGAGAGAGAGAGAGAGGGGGTAGGTGGTTAGTATAAGTCGAGCAAAAGACTCTTTCCTTAAAACCTTATTTGCTACCTCTCAAAAGTGCTAAGAGCGTTGTAGCCTAGATTTCTCAGGATATAACGTACTACGTTGGTTCAACGAACTATTGCACGTTTGAGCACCCAACGTACACAAGTCAAGCCTTCTCAAAGCTCACTTTGGGATTTCATTTGGACCTCCCTTGCGCACGAAAGAGAGCCCCTATGCTATACAATTCAATAAGCCTTAGAAAGGCTCTTGTATAAATAGTGGTGCAAACCCACTTCCCAAACCAATGTGGGACAAAAGCTCATTCTTTTTCCCTTCATTTTTCCAACTCAAATTGGTCTACTTTGAGAATCAATTTCTCATTCACCCATTATCCGTTTTGAGCGTACAATATATCAATCTCTTCGTCTCACCACAAAGAACTCGAATCCACTTTGACCCGACCCAAATCAGAAATGGATCCCACTAATAATTGTACCACAAAATAGACACTTAAAATGTCATTTTAATGCTATTTTTCCAACATACTTTGAGAATCAATTTCTTATTCACTCAGTAGCCATTTTGAGCATATAATACATAAAATTCATCATCTCAACTAGGAGAGTCCGAATCCACTTTGATTTGACCAACTTAGAAGTGGATCTCACTTAAATTAATGCCTCAAAATGGTCACTCAAAATATTAGTTTTGCTAATTTTTCAACAATAAATTTCATTAGGATGATACTTGCCGTTATAAAATTGCAAAATTTAGAAGTACATCAAATGTATGTGAAAACATCTTTCTTGAATGACAAGATAGATGAAGAAATCTATGTAAATAACATGAGGGTTTTATAGTTTCGTGCGAAGAAAATAAAGTCCATAAATTGTGAGTATAAGGTTTGAAACAAGTGCCTAAGCAATAACATAAAAAGTGATCATACAATAATAGTCAATTTATTTAAAATTAATAAAGTGTCAATGTTAGACACAATAGATCGATGTCGTCCTTTTATGTTTATACGTGGATGATATACTCATCATTAATAGTAATGTGAATTGATCAAGTTTACCAAAAAAATATTAAATTTAAAATTTGACATCAAGTTTATCGGAGAAGGCAGTCTAGTGGTCGCCTCGCCTTATCTGTTGAGAAGGCAACAAACGTTCATTATTGAATCGAAGGCGACTAGTCGCCGAATGTTTTGTTGCTGAAAGTAGTTCAAGAGTTGGACGGAGGATCGTCGGATCCCTAGTGACCTGTTATTACAGGTCACTAACTGATTTTTGAGTTTCAATGCACCAAAATAAATGGATTTAATATCACCTTTAAAAGGTTTAGGAGTCTAATTGATTTTTTTGATAAAGTCAAAGGCCTATTTAACTATTTCTCTTTATTATTTTTAAAATTATTTTAATATAATCATAATTTAAATATTAAACATTAATGTTGGATACTTATTTTCACATATCTAACATGCAAAGACTAGTTTATGTTATACGAGTAGTATCCTTGGTTAGTCAAAATTATTAGGGAAATCCTTTGACATGAATTCTAATAATCATTTAAAGACTTATTACATACATTTTGTCCTGCTTTTACCAACAAGTATCGACAAGAAGGCAAGAATGTTAATTAATTAAGCACACCAAATGATTTTGTCAAACACAACAAAATGCAAATCCTAATCAAGTTATCTTGCATGTCTCCAAAGCCAAGAATATTAAGCTAAAGTAGTTTCTTTTCTCTACTGTTTTTCCTACTTTGTTTCTCTTTTT